ACCCTGGGAACAGGAATGCCAGGGTTCCACGTGTTGGCAACAGCACAGACCATTGTAGACAGAACTCGGAATGGGGCAATGGATCCTGGGGATATGATAGACCAGGTTTAGTGAAAGCAGAAGCCAAAAGACTGTTGCTGCTTGTTCCATGCCATTCTAAATAATCACCTGGGTTCTCTACAGTCCAGGATTATTTGAGCTAGGCATCCTAACTGGATCCAAAGGGCAGGTAGCAACAGCAAAAAGTAAAAAAAAAAAAATGAGAAAACAGGTCCTAGAGACCATCATCTGTGAATGCTGCCCACCAGTCATTTTAAAAGCTACTAAACTTGTGTTCACCTATGTTGGAACCAGTAATGCCCCTGAGACATTCTGAAGAAACCAGTGTTAGCTGTTTAATAACTGATCTAAGATATGTGACTCAGGAAACTGTAGTGATGAGGGTTCGAATATTTACTTTTACGTGGCTCCTGGCAAGAAGCCACAAAAGATGAGCTGGAGCTCAGCTTTTTGACCCAATTGAAAAATGGGCCAANAAAACCACTGAAATGATGTAAAGTAATTAGCCTCCAACTAATAAAAATAAATGGAAAAAAAAATAAATAAATGGCGATAAAAACCTCTGATGGAAGAACGACTTGTTTTGGGAAAATAAAGGTGATGATGGGAAGTGGGCTGTGCTTGCAGTTTGGAGTCTCTATGAATCATGAGGTTGAGGGCATTCCGGGGCTAAAAACTCAGAATGTCAGCTAAATAATTTGGTCTTTACAAAGAAATTTGGTCATAAGCGCAATACTTTTGACCAAAGGTACTATAAAAGAAGAGATTTAAAGTAGTCACTAGTTAAAAAAAAAAAAAGGAGGTCATTATTAACATCAGGAAAAGCAAAAGGTAATAAAGAAAACTAACAGCGGACTACAATCCTCTGCGTTCCTTGCCTGTGTATAATGATGTAAATATCAAATACTAATTAAACAAAAAATTGTAATATAATTATGTGGGGAGAGCTAAGGAGGTAAAACAGAGGGGACTACTTGAAAAGGGGGCTGAATCCTCATNTCCCCTGTCCATGGGATTTCCCAGGCAAGAATACTGGAGAGGGTTGCCATTTCTTCTCCAGGGGATCTTCCCGACCCAGGGATCCAACCCATGTCTTCTGTATTACAAGCGGATTCTTCACTGCTGAGTCACCTGGGAAGCCCAAGTTTAATAGTAAGAGGACTTAATTTGCTCCTAGATCTTGCATGATTTTAAACCTTGTTATTGTTTATTCATTATATTTATGATAGAATTAATTAAAAACAGGTCACAGGGACAGGAACATACCAAGTGGATCATGCTCTGTATACCTACTTTCTTAACTATCCACACATGAAGAATGCCTAACCACTTGGCCTGTGCATCTATAAACATCATTGTTATTCATCAAGTACCAGCTACCTGAAGAGCAAGATATTGACTAGGAGGAATTAATCATCGTCCACAAGACTTGAGAGGGTGATTGTAATGGATTTAATTTGTCTCTTCATTCCTAGTGCTCATTCATAAGTGCTAAATGTAAATGAATCTGCCCAAATATATCTTGGTGGCAGGTTAACACCATTCAAGTAAAGACGCTGTCACCTTGAATGGATAATCAGTGTTGAGTGAACCTACACCTGTTAACACAGGGTGTCAAATTCAGCCCTATTAACATTTTGGGCCTGATGGTTCTTTTTTGGAGGGGTCTAAACTGTGCACTGCAGGGTGTTTAGCAGTATCCCTGGCCTCACACACTAGATGTGTGTGCATCCCACCCTTCTGGTCATGACAACCAAATAGTGTCTTCTGTAGCTCATCAAAGATTCAGGCTTAGTCTGTATTATTAACTCTGCAGCAAAGAACATCTAAACAGTGATTAAAATTTATTATACCACTCTGCATCTGATAACTGAGACATGTGAAGTGAGAAGTTTCTCCCTAAAGTATAATTAGGCTATGTAAATTACCTAAGTATTTTAAAAACCAGAATTAAACTGAAAATGAGAAGAATCCCATTAGGACACCCTGATACACTGGCCAGAACTTCCTCTGACCTAGGGAGGGGCATCTTGCTCCCAACATCTTCAGAATCTCTGCTCCAACTGAGTTTGCTTCAGCTTTCAAGAAACTGGGGCAGAACTCAGAAAGGTTTTCTGTGGGCAAAAGGCACTCCAGTGAGGATTCCCTGGCCAGAATGAGGAGGACTGAATCTGGGACATAAATAGCCGCTTCATCATCAAAGCCTCCTGCCCAAGAGAAGGCTTTCATGAGAACTCTGGGCTCATTGTGTGAAAATTCAGATGACTGAACTATAATTAGCTCGATTAGTCAACATTTTAATTCATAGGATTCTGGCTTTGAAGTGCTCCTTTCTCACAGAATCAAAGCTAATAATTCTGGAATTGTAATTGGGAGCTGAGTGCCAGCTTGAAGCTCGGGGAGCTCCCTCACCTCTTTGGCAAACTCTGCTTCCAAGACTGCTGCTTCCTGGCCATGAATGAACCTGGCCCAGGCACCTCTGCATTGCCTTCCCCTGAACACCTCCTCTGTGTAAGTCAAGGGCTCCAGCATTTAGGTTCTCAATTCGCGGTGGCTGACATAAAACCATGCTATGAATACCTCCAAAGCCTGCGCACATAATAGAATGCTGACAAATTTATTTATTTATTTATTTTTGGATGTTGCTAAACAAACAGTGAAGCAGGTAATTGACTGATTGGCTAGCCAACAACCATCCTTCCTGCTTTAGGAATAACATCTGACTGAAACAACCAACTGTGGTGATTGGATTGATCTAATGGTTACTGAAGATGGATATTTCTTCACCTGAGGCACTGTGAAGAACCAATAAATGAGTTAATACCTGTATACCACACACCCCGAGGGCTCTCAGGTAGCAATCTTGCAACCATTGCAGGCTAACAAGTTTGAAGAGCAAAGAGGAGATCTAGGGGAGAACTACGAAAGCCAAGGCAGGAAGATACATCGACATGAAGCGTGTCATCCCACTGGGCCAAATGTGGCTGAGAGGCCAAGGACAACAGAAAGGTGACCATTACCTGAAGCGAATTAGAGCTAACTGATGACCATGAGAAGAGAAGTTTGGGAGAAGTGGTCAGGAGTGAGAAATGCCAATGGATTTTGTTGAAGAGAGAATACGAGGGGAAGCAGGATCAACAGACAACTCTTTGAAGTTTTGCTGTAAATGGGATCAGAGAAATGGAATCGGATATGAAATCAAAGGAGAGTTTCAGGTAGGAGATATTAGAGCATCTTTACATGCTGATGGGAGCAAGCCTTTAGAGACAGAGAAATTGGTGATGCAGGAGAGAGAAGTGATATTTACAGAAGGGAAGACTTTAGGAAGGAAGGGGAGAAGAAAGTGGTCCTTCATTCTCTTAAGAGAGAGATCTTTCTAGTCACTTTATTTACTCGGGTCTTCTGATGGCCATCTGCTCCGTGTGCTCTTAAGTAGCAGCCGAATCCTGGACAGGGCCAAGAGATTGAAAGGTTTCCATGCGCTGCGCCTCCTTTCGCATCCCATACTGCTCCCAAGATCCAAACCAAGGCAATTGCTTCACAGCTCACTTCCTGATTTGCCAGGGCAGCATCTTCAAGGGCGGGGGCAGATGAATTTGCCCCGCATTTCTCAAAGGTCAAAAATGTTATTTTTGAGTTTCCTGGTGGCTTAAACAGTAAAGAAATCTGCCTGTGATGCAGGAGACCTGGGTTTGATCCCTGGGTTGGGAAGATCTCCTGGAGAAGAGAATGGCTATCCACTCCAGTATGCTTGCCTGGGAAATCTCATAGACAGAGGACCCTGGCTGGCTACAGTCCATGGGGTCACAAAGAGTCGAACATGACTGAGCAACTACCACTTAAACATATGGGCTTTCCAGGTGGTGCTAGTGGTAAAAAACCTGCTTGCCAATGCAGGAGATGTGAAAGACATGGGTATGATCCCTGGGTCAGAAAGATCCCCTGAAGGAGGAAACGCAACCCACTCCAGTATTCTTGCCTAGAAAATTCTATGGACAGAGGAGCCTGGTGGGCTACAGGCCATAGGGTTGCACAGAGTCAGACACAACTGAAGCAACTTAGCGCGCACACACACACACACACACACAACAATATAACCCTTAATGTGGGCCAGACATTACAATTATCGAGTTCCTTATATTACCAATCCAACTTACACACTGGGAAACTGAGGTATGGAAATGTTAAATGGTCTGCCAGAGGTCGCACACCTGGTAAGAGGAGGAGCTGGGACTTGAACCCAAGCAATGTGGCAATGGGAGGCCTCTTCCTTAACTTTCCCCCCATACTCCTTCCTCCCTTTAACTCTTTTCCCAGAAGGCCTAGGATTCCTTAAACCAAAATAATCACCTGTGACCTGTTTTGACTCAGGAGACCCTAACTTTTGGGGGGTAACCTCTGCAGTGTTGGGACACACACACACATACACACTCAAACATTCAAGTCCTTCAAAAGACAGGTCATCTTGATTCATCTGCAACTATCCTATACCCTGAGGAATGCTGCCCATCAAAGGATGGGGGCCTCTGAGCTGTTCCTTTCCTGCCTTCCTATTTATATCAGGCCAGACCTGGGCAGGAAACAGATGGCAACTCAAATCGGGTAATTTGAGGAGAGTTGAATAAAGGGACTATTTACAAAGGTGTGGGCAGGATGCAGGGAAACCACAGAGGTAGTGCAAAAAGTAACAGCCATTTGACCACCCCTAGGCCTGAAGTGGGGAGGACAGGTGCCATCACCAGAAGCTGGAGAGAGTGCCCCCTGTGCTTCGACCACCTGACCAGAGCTCTGACCAAACATCAAGGGACACAGCCACCTGACCAGAGCTCTGACAAATATCATCAGAGGACACAGTCACCTGACCAGAGCTCTGACCAATCATCAAGGGACATAGCCACCTGACCAGAGCTCTGACCAATCATCAGAGGACACAGCTCTCCCCATGGTGCTTCCCCCTCCCTCTGCTCTCAGGCTGGGATACCCACTGGCTCATCCCAACCAGAAGCCTAAGGGTAAGGGAGCTCATTGATAGGGTCTGCAGCACCGAGCAGAGTGGAGAACGGTAGAAGGTGACCTAAAAGAGCAAACAAGTTTCTAGCATATTATTTAGGGAGATGGTGGAGAAAATGGTTCTGGAGTCATACTGCCTGGGTTCAAGTGCCAGCTGACTTACTTCATGACTCTGGGCAAGCTGTTGGGTTGGCCAAAAAGTTCTTTCCGGTTTTCCTGTACCATCTCATGGAAAAACCCGAATGAGCTTTTTGGCCAACTCAGTACTTCGTCTCTCTATGCATTAGTATCCTCAAGATTTTGTTGTTGTTGTTCAGTTGGTAAGTCGGATTCGACTCTTTGCAACCCCACGGACTGTAGCCCGCCAGGCTCCTCTGTCTATGGAATTCTTCAGGCAAGAATACTGGAGTGGCTGGTCATTCTCTTCTCCAAGGGATCTTCCCAACCTAGAGATAGAACCCAAATCTCCTGCATTGCAGGCAGATTCTTTACTGTCAGCCACCAGGGAAGCACCACGCTTAAGTAGATGCCAAAGTGGAGGAATGTTTTTCCAAGTCATTTACTTGGCATTCTCCCTTTCTGTTGTTCTGTCTCTTTCAACCCTTCTTTCATTATGTGCTTTCAAAAAGAAAGAAAGAAAGAAACAAAAACTCCCTATGACTATAAATTTTACTAGACAAAAGTTTTCTACAGTGGCAGGAACCGTATCTTTTCATGTCTTTATAACCTATATTTCCTGAGTTGTTGACACAGCTCAAGAAAGAGTCATTGACTGGAATCGAAGTTTATTTTCCTTCCCTTCCTGCCTTCATGAAAGCCATCTATTTCTCCAGGCCAGCGTGATTACTCTGCTGGATTGCACACTGCTTGAGGGAGAGGGACTTTGCCCTCTCTGGCAGCTGGTTCTTATGTAGCAGCAGCAGGAACATGTAAAAGGGTCAGATGGGAGGTGGACTGGGGAAAAAAAGGACACTTAAATTTGGAGGCTCATTTATTTTTAACACTAATATATAGATTTGCTTTCTTTCCCTTAGCATAAAATGTGTCCACCCTCCTTTCATAAGGGATTAAGGAATTCTGTTTATTTTACTTCTTGAACAGTCACAAACTCCCAGCTCCTTCCATCCTCTACCCACCAAAACTGGTACCAAAAGAGCAGAAATCCTAGGGCTTCTGAAGCAAAACCTGCACAGAACTTGGACAGGACAGTGAGCTAGGCCATTCAGCTCCCCTGTGCCTCACCCTTCCTGACCAGTACCTGGGTAGCAGAATCATAAACAAGGAATAATAAGTGGTGCTTTTTATGGGATGAAAAGTTCCGGGCCGTGAAATGTGTGATTTACAACGATGAGACATTCAGATCCAATTTCAGGGTGAGGGCCACTGAAGTAGGACCCTCCCAACCCTTCCCTGAGCTTCAAGGCGTCTCCCCACTATGTATCAGGACCCAGATTGACCAAATCAGCCGTTTTCCTTATTTCTCCAAGTTCCAAAGTCCAAATGCTTTCCTGCTGAGTTATTTTATAAGGAGGAAGGGGAAGTAAAAAGGCAGACTCTGAGGGCTCTCAGCTGCCTCTGGAGATGCCTTGGCTCTGTTCCTAGTTAACATCACGCTTGTTCGGCTCCAAAACTACAGTGACCCAGAAACAAGCCCATAGCACAGACCCACGTGCTGCGCTGCTTTCCTATGTCCTAAAGATGAAGTGCCGAGTGTTTACAAATAAATACTCCCCGCAGCAAAATCTCACTGTCAAGAAGGACATCATCCTTGTCCCTACGCCCACAAGAAGGCCTTTTGCCAAAACGAATGGGAAATCATTGGCCCAATTAACATCCTGTGATCTTAGATCTAAAAATGACCCGGAGCCGGGTAAACAAGGTGACGTAAGCTGCTGGGCAGTGAGCGGCTCTCTACTGCCACCTGGAGGACAGCGTCCGAAATGGAGCGGAGGTTCCTCGGGCGCTGGGGAAGAAACCGAAGAAAACCAGAGCTAGCAGGGGAGACGCGGGCGGGGGAGGGAAAACACAGAGGTGCCTAAAAAAAGACCGGAAAGAAGCTCCTCCGAAACTTCAGGTGAAGGAAAACGAGGTCTGTGTAATCCAGGCCGTAGGACGTTGTGGCGGTGACCCTGCTGGCTTCCTCCTGGGGAACATTCCTTTCATAAAAGGACGCAGGCATCATGAACTCGGGCTAGGAAAAATTATGGCTAGAACTGTTGGGGACAGGATCTCCAACGCCGGAGACCCTTGAAAACACCACTACCACCCCTTCCCCGTTTCTGAAAGGAGCGGCAGAGGCATGAGCATTCTGATAACAAAGGGCCACTGGATTTTCTGGTTTAGTTTGAGCGTCACCGTGACTTAAGTGGGGGAGGGATGAAGGAGCAGGGTAACAGTCCTAATTTACTTTCTCTGAGGCTAATGTGAAAATGAGGCTGCAGCGCTTTCACATTATGCAACTGGCATGCTGGGAGATGCCCTAGAAATGTGCTGGGGGGCTAGGAGGAGGTCAGCCGTGGCCTTATTATTTGCCTCCTGTAGATGATCCACGAAAGGAAAACGAAGAGTTGGTTTGTTTCAAATTCTTTGTTGAATCTGTTACAACATTGCTTCTGTTTTATGTTTTGGCTTTTCAGCTAGGCAAGGAATGTTGGGATCTTAGCTCCCCTACCGGGGATCGAACCCACACACCACTGCATTGGGAGGCGAAGTCTTCCCTGGATTGACAGGGAAGTCCCAAGGTTGATTTTTAACTTGATACAAAAACAAAACCAAACCCACTTTACTTTTGGCCTACTTGGGTTTTGCTATGTTGTGGGCTTCCTTGGTGGCTCAGCGGTAAAAATTCACTTGCAATTTAGGAGATGTCAGTTTGATCCCTGGGTGGGGAAGATCCCCTGGAGAAGGAAATGACAACCCACTCCAACTCTTGCCTGGTAAATCACATGGACAGAGGAACCTGGAAGGTTACAGTCCATGAGGTCGCAAGAGTCAGACACAGCTTAGCAACTACACCACCACCACCACCAAACCACCTCAAATGTGTGTAGAACTAACATACATTTATTTTTCTTGTTAATAGGTCTGCAGGTCAGCCTTGGTCTGATCCCAGGTGGGCTCACCTGGGCTGGCTGAGCTAGGCTGGACTAGAGCCTTAGGGTCTAAGGCAGGTCTGCTCCACTTGGTTGAATATCTGGACCCAGGATGGAAGGAGGCTCCTCTCGTGGCATAGAGTGGCCAGTTCAGGAGGCCAAGTCAGAATAGACAAACACACTTGCGCTTCTGTGTCCTGCCAGCTAACATTTCACTGGGTAAGGCAAGTCCAACATCACCTGGGGGATGGGGACAGGGAGAAACTCTACTCTCGTAAACTGATCCGCACCAGAATTTAACCAGTGAGTCATTGTCTGCTCACTGGAGACACCCACTTATCCTGGGAGAATTACAAAGTGAGGATGGCCGAAATCATCCTTATGCAGTCCTGGTGGTTTCCAGCATGAATTCAGTATTTTTTAATAGCTTAATTTCCCTTTCATTCACTTCTATAACTAGCTCTTTGCCTTCCACTTACGACATTAGGTGTTCATACGACATTAGGGACACGATACCCTTGTGCGTGTCTTGTCTACTTGTGATGTTATGTTGTTTTGTCTGTCTCATGGTAGGCTTTCTGTAAAACTCCCTATGCCAGAAAGGCAAGGACTTAACCTGTGCAAGTATCACCTTCTGGACATAGAAAACAGACATATGGTTACCAAGGGGGTGGGTGGGATGGACTGAGAGACTATTATATACGTAATAGTGTATAAAATAGATAACTAATGAGAACCTACTGTATAGCACAGGGAACTCTACTCAATGCTCTGTTGTGACCTTAATGGGAAGGAAATCCAAGGAAGAGGGGATTATATGTATGCGTGTGGCTGATTCACTTTGCTGTACTGGAGAAACTTAACAGAACATTGTAAAGGAACTATATTCTAATTAAAAAAAAATCTTTCCTCTGAATTTCATATGGCTTATATATTCACTTTTATCAGAATTTTCTCAGATACCATTTTTTTATTAAGGCCCCAGTTACTACTGTGTGTGGGCATCCCTCGTGGCTCAGCAGTAAGAATCCGCCTGCAGTGCAGGAGAGGCAGGAGACTCGGGTTCCATCTCTGGGTCAGAATGTTCCCCTGGAGGAGAGCATGGCAACCCACTCCACTATTCTTGCCTGGAAAATCCCAAGGACAGAGGAGTCTGGTGGGCTACACAGCCCATGGGGTCACAGAGAGTAAGACGTGACTGTGCGTGAGCACCGCTATATTTAAAATGGAAATCTTATTCCCATTCTCTGTGTGATTGACATTAAATAGAAAAAGTTTCCAATTCAGAATAATTTTTTTAAAAAGTTATCACCTGTGGAATGAAAACAAGGAGAGATTCTTGGAGAAGGCAGCATGATAAGTGGAGACGAAGCTGGGTTTCTAGTCCTGATTTGGCCAGTAATTGGGATTTGGAAGGTCAGCAGGAACCAACAACCAGATGCCTTTAAATTACTGAGCAGCTTGGACTTTGAATCCTGTGTGCAGTGCCTGATAGGGTTAGATCAGAGTTTTTGAAAAACCTTTTGGCCAGCAGTGTGGAATTTGGCAAAGCATAGATTAAAGGAGAAAAATTGGATTGAAGGCAAAGAGATGAGTTAGGATACAGTCCAGTTGAAAGGTAATGAGGACACTGACCAGGAATGAGGCCCTGAAGATGGGAAAAGGGGATGAAGAAAGAGGTTTTAGAAGCAGAACTGACAGGAAGGACTTCAAGGCAATTACATGGAAAGAGAAAAGGGAAGTCAAAGGTGAATCCAGGGTCCAGAGTACATCTCACAAAGAGTTAAATGTTGTTTCTCAAAATCCTTGTCACACACACGCATAATTGTATGTATGTGTGCATTGGCAGGTTTTGTAGAACTTATTTCTTCCCAGGGCTAGTGAAAAAAGTTATAAAAAAATGGAGTATATCAGTGATTCTCAAACTTAAGTCACTCACATACTTCATTCAGAACTTTTGCCATATTCAAACAATACCTGCATCATTAATTGCTTACTATGATTCTTTAAATGAAGTCACTTTTTAACACATTTACTGGGCTTGTCCTTAAAAATATATAAGTGAAATCATGAGTTTGATTTTTCAGTTATGTTTTTTATACATTTGCTTCAATAATAAATACAAGGCCATTAGAAAAAAATATTTTTGACCACTCTGTGAGGCTTGCAGGATCTTAGTTCCCAGGTCAGGGACTGAACCCAGGCCCTTGGTAGTGAGAGCACAGAGTCCTAACCACTGGGCTGTCAGGGAATTCCCACCTTTAGAAAACTTTAATCTGTCTGTATACCACCTAACTTTCTTATTTCCCATGCCCTCTGTTGTGTGCAGACTAGATTTAGGGGACCCTTAACTTGGGTGAGCGCAGAAGCCACCAAGATTACACATATTTTGCTTTCTTTGCCCTCCTCTTCATTCCCATTCAGATTGTATCAGTGTCCATTCCTGGATGGCAGGTCTGGTCTTTGCATCCTTTGTTGGTAAGGCCTGGCTCTGCAAGCAGTAGCCTTTAAGGGATCTGAGCTGGAGGTTGCTATCCAGACAAATGGAGGCTGGCCTGGAATGTTGTTTTAACTCAATGCCTCACTTTTCAAGCCCCTGAAGACTGCTATAAGAGCAGCCAAACCAGATGAGCTGGGTCCCCGATATTCTACAGCCAAGAGGGCAGATGGGACCTTACCATGTCCCTTTGCTTCTCCAGCTCTCTTGGTGATGACTTTCTAGGGGCCACACAGACAGATCTGAATGGGGAGGGCTGCAACGTGATCTTCTTTTGCTCACATTTGATGCATAAACATCTTTATATCTTCATCAAGATAAAGTTGAATGAATTCTGCACTAAAGGGTTGTATGACATGAGGCATGTCCCTGAGCCCCTCTGAGCCCATTTCCTCCTGTGTAAAATGGGGGGGTTGGGTTGGTGACCTCAAAAGTGTCTTCTACTAACATCTTACTGTGTTCAACAGTTCAAGGATAGCTGTGTTCAAGTTCTTGCCCCTGCCCCCCACCTTAAAAAAACAAAAGGGCTATTCAAGCTAATGAGGGCTTCCAGGTGGTACAGTAGTAAAGATTTCACCTGCGGGAGACTTGGGTTCCATCCCTGGGTCAGGAAGATGCCCTGGAGAAGGAAATGGCAACCCCCTCCAGTATTCTTGCCTGGAAAATTCCATGGACAGAGGAGCCTGGCGGGCTATAATCCGCAGAGTCAGAAAGAGTCGGACACGACTGATTACACACACACATTTGTTCTAAATATGTAAAACTTATTATAGTCATTGTATTTAAGTGTTGTATGTGTAGTTCATCTTACTGTTTCATCCTTGCTTCTGTAGAATAGACTTTTTTTCCTCTCCATGGAGACATTTGGAGACATTTTGACTTGGGAAAAAAAAAGTCCCAACTGACAATCTTTTCCTGAGGATTTCTATTTCAAAAGATCTTCCTTACTCCAAGATTACAAAAATACATACTCAGTTTATCTTCTGGAATTTTAATGGTTCATTTATTTAATTTTTAATTGTAGATCTTTTACACATATTTTACATAAGAGGTGACAGGGAGATCCACCTTTTTTTCTTTTCAAATAAGTACCTCATTTACTGAACAATCTATCCTTTTCACACAGATTTGAAATATATAATCTTTATGGCATTTGAACAAAATTTCAAGTATACTGTATAAATTTATAAAAGCTATTAGTCATGTTCTAATAAAAAGCTATTGTCAATTCTTCTATGGCAAATTTTAACTCTTGAACTAGTGGAATTATTATTTTTATTTATTTATATTTTAAAACTATAGCAAAAATATTTACTCTGACCTCACTGTAGCCATCTTAAGGCATTTAAAACCTTAAGCACAAATGGTCACTTTAATGACTATCAACATATAAAAACTCTCAAAGTAGGAGACTTCCCTTTTCTATCATGGTAATTACTAGTGGCAATCATAGCAATTAGGAGAAGTAAAATAGGAATTATAATTGCAAGGAACTCAGGTTCTAAGATTTTGGAGAAAGTAGGACTAGGACCTGTGGAAGTTATCCCAGAGATCAGGGTTAATGTGCAAAATTAGAAAGTTTGAGACATTTTCTTCCTAGGGTGCCTCCTCCCCACTCCAAGCACCACTGTTCTTGCCCTCTCTCTACCTCACTTCATCTCTCAGAGTTGCCTCTCAGGTTTTCATTCACACTGAGGTGTTGATGACTGGCTGCTAGCCAACACAGCTATTCTCACGAGAGTGTGAGGCATGCAGAAATTAACTTGTGACCAATAAAAGAGTGCTTAAGTTTGAGACACTTTTTGTGTTGACTCTTTTACGACCCTGTGGACTGTAGCTTGCCAGGCTCTTCTGACCATGGGATTTCCCAGGCAGGAATACTGGAGTGAGTTGCCATTTTCTTCTCCAGAGGATCATCTCGACCCAGGGAGCAAACCCACGTCTCCTACTTGGCAGGTGAATTCTTTACCACTGAGCCACCGGGGAAGCCCTTGAGACCCTCTTTGTTGTTCAGTTGTTAAGCTGCATCTGATGAGACCCCGTGGATTGCAGCGCACCTGACTTCCCTGTTCTGGACTCTTTATTTTCTAATAAGTCTAAGTTGATTTGATATCCCCACAGAAATTAGTACGCCTGATCTTGTCTGCATACCTCTTTTGTGAGAGAGAAAAAGGTGTTGGTAGTTGTCTGGAATTTCTTCATCCCAATGCATTGGGATATAATTAAGAGCCGTTAATAGCTAAGGCCACTTCCAATTGCCATATGAGGTGAGTTCAGCTTATATGGTTGGCTTCATTTTCTTTTTGGTGTTGTCCAGGGATAAATTTTTACTAAGTTTACCAAGTCTCTATTGCAGATGAGGAAGTAGGATGCTGGAAACGTGTGTGTGCGTGCTAAATCACTTTAGTCGTGTCAACTCTTTGTGACCCACTGGACTGCACCCTCCAGGCTCCTCTGTCCATGAGATCCTCCAGGCAAGAATACTGGAGTGGGTTGCCATGCCCTCCTCCAGGGCTGGAAACATATGTGCTACTAAAGCTACGAAAATTATAATTCCTAATGAAAGACATAAAGTGATGACACAGATGAAATGTATGTTACTTTTATTCACACTGGTACTCAATAAATATTAGTTGAATGAAGGAATAAATATTTTAAACTTACTGAAATCTGTGTTTATATAGTTAATAAATGATATAGTGTTCTGTTGATGCTTTTCTGAAATATTTACTCACTTTTAATCAAATCTGTGGTATAAAAACAGTACTTTCAGGGAATTCCCTGGGGATCCAGTGGTTGGGGTTCTGCATTCTCACTGCCAAGGGTGCAGGTTCAATTCCTGGTTGGAGGAACTGAGATCCTGAAAGCTGCACAGCACAGCCAAAACAAACAAGCAAAGCAAAACATTACTTTCAGAAAGTGTTTTTTGAAATAGAGTTTAAGACGTTCTGAATATCATCTTATGTATTTTTCATCATAAAAGTATCAAGTTTTAGGAGAAAAACAAAAGTCCTAATTGATGAACCAGAGAACAAGAGCATGGTAATGTCTGAGTATGAAGAAGTGACAACTGGTTTCTAAATTTTGTACAGAATCCCTGGCCTCAGGAATATCTTACTTTGCTATGAAAAATACTTCTATGAAACCTTATCTACTTTAGAAATATTTTCAAAGATATTTGCCTTATTTCTTTGCCTGTTCCCCTGAAGGTATTATGTTTGTTAAAAACAAAACTGGGTTCCCTGATAGGTGTCTTTGTCATCCAAAGCGAGGGAAAAGTGTGAGAAACAAAGATTTGAAAAGTGAGACTCTTAAGCTAATGTTTCCAATGCTACACACACACACACACACACACACACACACACATCCACAGCGAGTTCAGAGCCTTAAGCCAAAGGAAGGAGGACCCAAGCATAAAACTGAGGCAATAGCCAACAGCAGGTTGAAGCTCTGAAATCACACCCTGCGGGTACCCCCTATCCCTCGTCCACCTGTAATGTCAGCTCTGCAATTCTGTGTTCCGTGTGACGTTCCTGACTGCTAGGAAAGTGGAGCTGGGACCATTACTGGGAGCCAGTGATCAGAGCTGCTGCTTTTACCAGTTAAGTAGAACTACAGACTCTCCCTCCTCCCCAGCCTGAATTCAGGAATGAGGATAACTGAGACATCAAGTTATCACAGGAGACATCAAGTGTTCATCTCAGAGTCCTTTCCAGGGGGCTCATTGACTTGGGATTTCAATTCTTACCCCCCGAGCAGTTTTCCCAGCCACAAGAAGTTGTTCGGTCCTTTTGAGTTCATCTCAGGATAAAAAGTATGTGGAGCAGTCAGGATAGAAGCCATGTGGGCAACAAGTAACAAAGCACTAATTGCGTTTATCGGGCATAGGGTTTCAGTGACTTCATGTTGGCTAAATATAGACGAACACTTGGTGTGCTGTGCGTGCCAGGGAGAACCATGATGCAATCATCTCCTCCCCTAGATGGAAGGGGGAGGACAGGGTCAGAAGGCACGCGCGCGCGCGCTTGTGTGTGTGTGTGTGTGTATGTGTGTGTGTGTGTGTTTACTAAGAGATCAGCCTACAGCGATTTCAGTCAACGGTCAAGCCAAAGGGTCGAGTTTTACACTCCTAACTTAGAGCTTTTTCGGTCAGTGGTAACTGTGGTATTCTTCCCAGTGTAAATGGACTTTTCTTTCTTCCCTTTCTGCAGGTGAATTTTGAGATGTTTTGCTCTCCGAGGCCTGCCAGAAGTTGCTGCATAGAAAGGAAATCTGATTTCCGGAAAGATCTCTCTCTCTCCTCCACGCCCTTGCAACATGTCATATGGCCCTGAAAGAAGAAAGGTCCTCAGCCCACCAGGGGAAGTTTAGTGTAGGCCCAGAATGAGAAGTCTTTAGGGGCAACTTGAAGCCATGGCTCCTTGTTCTCCCAAAACTGGGAACACGTTTTACCTACGAGGGCAGAATACAATCAAGTCTCCATCTCTGTAGATGGACAGCAGCACACACTTACCAACCAATAAGGAATCTATGAAAATGAATCCAGCCACTGACAACCACTCATTGACTTTTTGACTTTATGAATTTACCCATTCTGAATATTTCATGTAAGTGAACTCATACCTATGTGGCCTGCCACTTAGTTTTTTGCACTGGTGTTAGCGCTTTTTAAATGTCTGTTTCCTCGTGACTGGCAGAGGAAACTTTTTCACCCTTGGACTGTCCACGTCTTCTTCCTTCTCAAACAGCCCATGAGTCCTTTTATCTCTTTGCTCTCATCTCCAGGGTCTTACTTCTTGTTAGACTATCTACCTTTCATGCTAGAGCGGTGCCATCCAAATGCTAGCCCCATGCCATGTGGGGTTATTTAGATTATTAATTAAAATTAAATAACACTTGGAACTTCCCTGCTGGTCCAGTGGCTAAGATTCTGTGCTCTCAATGCAGGGGGCCAGGGTTTGATCACTGGTCAGAAAACTAGATCCCACGTGCCACAACTAAGACTCAGCATAGCCAAATATATAAATATTTTTTAAAAATTGATCTACATTAAAAATTTAGTTTCTCAGTTGTACTAGCAACATTTCAAAGGCCTAGTAGACACACATGGTTAGTGAACTCTGCATGGGCCAACTCATATAAAGGCTTAAAACTTGTCTCTCTTACGCTGTTATCTCACCCTGCTAGGCACCCAGATCCAAGAATAAAGGAGAAGGAGAAAAAAATCTCTTCCAGCCACATCCATTTGCTATCTTAGATTTTAAACTCTCCAGTTAGACTGTAAACCCCTTGAAGACAGTCCACATCTCTTTACTCATGCTCCTAACAAGAAAACATCAAGTATGCAGATATGCACACAGGAGACATGCAGCCAAGATTTTCAGATAAACAACTGATAGAAACATTCAGCCCAGGCTTTGTCACTGAGCCTGAGGGTGTCCGTATACCCAGGTCCCCCTGGAGGGTGTGTTCTCTCCATATTGACCCTGGTTCTGTCCTCCAGCTAGGGACTGGGAACAGAGAGAGTCAATGGGCTGGGCGGTGACACTGCACCTTGGAGTGTAAATTACATCCTTAGTTCAGTTCAGTCGCTCAGTCGTGTCCCACTCTTTGCGACCCCATGAATCGCAGCACGCCAGGCCTCCCTGTCCNTTGCAGCCAAAGATGGAGAAGCTCTATATAGTCAGCAAAAACAAGACTGCGAGCTTATTGTAGCTCAGATCATGAACTCCTTATTGCCAAATTCGAATTACATCCTCACCTCTAAGCAATTATAGTACCTGCTCATTCCCTTATGAAAGCAATTATCACTTGCAATAAATGTTACCTGTATGTGTCTGCCTTTCCCAGCAGAGTGTGAAAACTTGATGCAACTCCAGCACATTAAAAGGCACTCGACAATTTAGGGTAAAAAAACAAATGTAAACAAATATGCTAATGAAAGGGATCTTTTCTAGATTTGAGGTAGAAATGGCAGCTGGGGGATTAAAGGCAGCCAGAATGGGTACAGTTCAGAGCCAGGGAGGGCGAGGGGAGGCAGAGGTGGGGGCCCTGGTTGCCCTGTGTTCCATTTCCTGTGCCAAAGACCCCCTCTAACCTAGCAAGACCCGGTGCAACTCCGGAGCGGCAGGGAGCGGGAGGCGGTGGAGAGTATCCTTCTGCTTTCAAATTTACTTGCCTTAGGAGGCAAAACAAAATGACAGCTAAACCTCCAAAGCCTTGATCTGCCTGTGATGGGAAATATCATACACTTATGCTCTTTGGATTTTGATCCATACTTTTGATCAACACTTTCCACTAGAAACTAGTATGGATGTCTCACCACCTCCAGGTCAATAGAACTTAAGGAATCTTGATGTCACACCCTTTTTCTCCACTCCTTTCACTCAACACTGCCTGCCACACCACACATCTGCATTCACATTCAGCCCTTGCTAGCTGATAGGTTTTTTTTTTTTCCCAGTCCTTTGAAACCAGTTCTATCTGACCCCCTATATCCTTTCTCTTAACCTCTGTAGCTTAGGGTTTATGCCATGTTGCTCTTCATGTTAGTTGAGTTCTTATTAGTGTAAAATGAGGAAAACTGAGACTCACAGAAGGTAAGGAATTTATCCAGATTCATTCAGCTTATAGGAGGTGACACTTGGGTTCCATCTCCAGTCTAGCTGACTGCAGAACCATGGTTGGCTGGGGCTGCATTTTCTGCTCAGGCCTTTGCTTACTGTGGTCCCATTCCTTCTCCCATCTTCCCCCCAGTCCTCTCAGCTCTTAGCAAAACACATCCCACCTTCCCATCGTCTCTACCTGGGTAATACTCTCTGGTCCTCCGTGAGTCCTGTCTCCTCCAGGAAACTGTCCAGAAGAGAGCTCCAAGAGCTCTACTTGTCTCAGCATCCACCATGTGCCTCCATGTGCGTTTACACTATCTGTTATGAGCACAGGCAGTGGAGATGCTTGAGCTGCTGGGCTGGACCATGAGTTCCCCAGTCCTGCACTTTGCTCCTCTCACTGCACTCTGTGCCTGGTACTCAGGAAGGATGAGCATCTGCATATGGTTGGCAGAAATGCTGCCAGCAAGTTCAGCAGGTGTTTATTTAATGTCCACTGTGTGCTGTCTGTCTTCAAGACCCTGCCACACAGGCCACCTCCCTTAAGTCTATTTAAACTGCTCCTACATGCTTACTGGCCTCTCTTCTCACACTGTACACAGGATTATGACTTCTGTGTCCTTATGAGGCAAAAGTTGGTTCATCTGATTCTTATGAAAAACAGGAATAAAGTAAATTGTTCCCTGAGTCTAAAAGCAAGCAGCTACTTACAAGTTGTAGCTCTAAGAGGATTTAGGCAGGGCTCCTCACTTCCAAAATGTTCATTCCACTGGGTGTCATGATAGCTTCCTTCTCTCAGTTGAATTTTTTTTTTTGTTTTTCCTCTGAGGTTACTTCTAAAACGAAGCAGCCCCCTCTAGCTTCGTTATGGGTATTAAGCCTTATCAGCACACATCATAACTGGGAATCAGGAGGAATGGGACATGGGAAGAGTGTTTGGGAACAGAGACCACAGTCCAACTCCTTAACAAGGCTCAGAATACCCGTCAGGATCCGGCCCTTGCCTACTTCCCCAGCTTTCTCTCTTCACTCTTGCCTTTGTAAGGGTTTAATTCTGTAGCATCCTATTTTATACACTTTATCATTTCCTGCTCTCTTTCACTTTCCTGACTTTAGACATACTGTGCTCACTTCTTTGGCTGCCTTAACTCCTATCCATCTTTCAAGTTTCAGTTCAGACCTCACTTCCTCCAGGAAGCTTTCCCTACTCATCTCAGGCTGGGTTTGATGCCCCTGCCACATATCCCATAGCTCCTTGTATCATAGCACATAATGCACTGCTGACTGTGAGTTCCAAGGCTACAGGTTCCGTGTTGGACTTGGTACTGTCCCAACACCAGACACTGCCTGGCACATTGTAGCTATTCAAAGAATATTCACGACAGGAATCAATAAACTGGGCCTGAATGGATAGATGAGTGTTCTAGGGACAGACTTTGCCTCCTTCACATCAACGAATTGCTTTGCTCCAGCCCCATGTAGTTTTTCTGGCTCCAGACAAGATCCTGCTAAAACGTGTACTATAGATGGGTCACAAAGGACACTGAGAATGTGTATAATTCCATGCAACCATTCCCAAGCCTAGTTGTGCAACCTAGAGCATGTGCCACTTTCTTCTGGTGGGAGACACTGTACCATGAGGCTTCCCCAATAACTCAGTGGGTAAAGAATCCACCTGCGATGCAGGAGACACAGGAGACCTGGGTTTGATCCCTGGGTTGGAAAGAGCCCCTGGAGAAGGAAATGGCAACCCACTTCAGTGTTCTTGCCTGGAAATCTCCATGGACAGAGGAGCCTGGTGGGCTACAGTCCATGGGTCGCAGAGAATCAGACACAAGTGAGCGACTAAACCACCACCACCAATGTGCCAATGTGCCTGGGAGTTTATGTACCCACCTCAGAAGCCTAGACATCACCACAGACTACCAACACTGTAATAGCATAAGTGGGGCTCCCGAGATCCTGGCTAAAGTTATAAAGGCCATCTTGGAACCAAAGGTCAGATTTCCATTGTGCAAAGGTGGTGGGACGAAGACGTCTTTTAATCCCTGAGACATGAGCTGGAAAGAGGCCAATAACTGCCAGATGCAGAAGAGAAATGCAGGGTAGGATCTCTGCTTTGGGTAATGTGAGCAGCACAGGTCACGCTATGCTTAATAGCTTGCAGGAGGCTTGGTCCAGGTCTCTGGGGAGGAGAACCTGAGCGAGCAGAGCTACTTTTAAAGAGTCAAAAGAGGGACTTCCCTAGTGGTCCAGTGGCTCTAATTCCACCTCCTACTGTCGGGGGCCTGGGTTCCATCCTTGGTCAGGGAACTAAATGCTACATGCCGCAACTAAGATCCCGCATACAGCAACTAAGGTCCCGCATACCGCAACTAAGGTCCCGCATACCGCAACTAAGGTCCCGCATACCGCAACTAAGGTCCCACATACTGCAACTAAGGTCCCGCATACTGCAACTAAGACCTGGTGCAGTCAAATAAAAAATTTTTTTTTTTTTTTTAAAGAAAAGGAGTCAAAAGAGATAATCATAAGAAGCCAAACTTTGCAAGTTTGACTGAAACATGAATCACGGTCATGGTTACAGTTGGCCATTATTAAGGGCTAAAAACATGCCCACTCAGCTCTCAATGCTTTACAAATATTAACCAAGTAATTCTGACCACGCCTGGTGACGAGGTAGGTCCTATTCTCACCGCCATTTCATAGATGAGGGCACCGAGGCACAGATGTCCTAGGTGACTAATCCAGGATCACATAGTAAGTATTTAAAAAAAGCATTTGAAAGCACGCATTTTGGCTTCAGAGCTTAGCTGAGATCCTTGATGAGAGAGGAGGTCACCCATGCAAACAACAGAATGACGGTCCGATGGGGCTAAGGCTGGAGGGCGGTCAGGACCACACCGCCTGCAGCAGTGCTCGCTAAGCATTT